CACTGAAAGCATCGTGCTTCTGAGTACATTATGAAGCTTTAAGGAAAGAAATTAAAAAAACAAAACTTCACCCACTGAACTTCTTTTGAGCAGAGAGAGAGACAGGTCTTGGCTCCAAGGCAGTGACACTACAATGAACTGACTTCCTCTGCTAACATCTTTGTCCACAGAGATGACAGCAAAAGCATTAGATTGCTACTAAACAGGCACCTGTACACCTGCATGAGCTGATACCTAGATTATATTGGAGTAGAGGAACAAGATTATTTTTTGAATGCTTTTTTCACCATGTTTCCTCCATCTATTGACAGACATATATTCTTTCTCATGCAGAGAGCAGAATAACTGAGCAAGAGATTAACCAGCTGCAAAGATAAGCTAGAATTTGCCTTGGGAAATCAGCTATTCTCTCTTATGAGGCTTTATCTACCATCTATCTACCTTTTATAAGTGCTGCAGTACAAGAAAGTTAGTAGTGAAGCATTCACAATACAGAGAAGTATCTCCGCCTAGTAAGACACTCAAAGACAACAGGAGTGTGCTGCCATGAGTGGCACAATAAGCCCCACAAACTACATGTAATGTTGACTGTTATTTATGTTGTTTAAGGTGACGTCGACATTCCTGGCAAAATCAACAGCTGCAAAAATCCAGATGGCTCTCCCTAATATCTAACACCTGTTAATAGCCAGCTGGTTTTGAGTAATTTGCCTATCTTCTTGTTTCTATTATCACCTACAAACCCAAAAGGAATGCAACAATGAACTTTCAAGACAGAAAAATGTGCATGCAGGAGTTCTTCAGTTCAGAGATGTCATAAAGTTCCCAGCAGCATCCTAAGTTGCTACTCTATGACACATTAGAAAAAAATATCCCTCTGGAAAAAATACAATTACCCATGAGGAAGATTTTGATTCTACCTGACATAAAGAAAAGCAGTGCTTTTATGTAACCTCTTATTGGCCTTTTAAAAGGGGCCATGGACTGCAGAACCATGGTTATTGTGCCTACTGGGTTTACACTGCAATCTAAATAACCTGGTTTGGGAAACACTCTCAGAAGCTGAAATGTGATTTAAAAGCAATTTTAACAGGTTTGAAACTTTTATTGCATTAACTAATTCCTCTGAAGAGGAACATCAATATTTCAGGCACACAAAAATTCTTCCTTTTGCAGTGTTAGGTAGTTACTCGATCCAGTGTTATTAAGTAATTTTTCCCAAATATAAGATATCGTTAAGTATAAAACTGGGTTGCAGTAACTTTCATTCTTACTTAATTTAGCACAAAATAAAACCTACTAGACCACGCAATATTTTGATGAAAATATATCAATTAGTTGAGAAAATTTCTTAAGGAAGACTATTTATTCATTTAAGTAAAAATAAATAGCAGATTTGAGCTTTTCATTTAGAAGGTGATTTTCACACAGATCAATTTTCCTAAACTTTATAAATACTTTATTACTTATCCTTCCTAAAACTCCTAACTAGGTCTCTTTAGAATTTGATTTTTATACAGAATGAGTTTCCTAAAGTTTTTGAATACTTTACCACTTAAAACTCCTAAAAATCTTGACTAGGTCTTTTGCAGAGCACAATGGAATAAAATATATTTTCCTTGGCATTTGTGTGTACATATTTTGAATACCGCAGGGGATTTGGATGAATGATTTAGATTAATGTTGACTGGCGGATGACAACTCAGTTTTATGAAAACTTTTGACAAGTTAATATTTGGTTTTCTTCTCTGTTTTGGAGAAAACACAAAACTTTCCAAAATGAAGACTTGAGGCAACCAGGTTTGCATTGTACTGCCTCTTCAGTAAAGCTGACCAGACCACTTCATTTTAGAACGGAAAAGAGTGACGAGTGACATTCCTCAGGGGTCAGTATTGGGACTGGTGCTGTGTAACATCTTTGCTGGTGACATGGACAGCGGGATCGAGCGCACCCCCAGTAAGTTTTCAGTGACACGGAACTGTGTGGTGAGAAGGGATGCCATCCACAGGGACCTGGACAGGCTTGAGAGGAGGGCCTGCGTAGAGTTCATTAAGTTCAACAAGGCTGGAGCACCAGTCCTATGATGACAGGCTGAAAGAGTTGGGGTTGTTCAGCCTGGAGAAGAGAAGGCTCCAAGGAGACCTTGCAGTAGCTTCCAGTACCTAAAAGGGAGCTACAAGAGAGCTGGAGGGGGCGTGTAGTGGTAGAACAAGGGCGTATAGTGATAGAACGAGGAGGAATGGCCTTAAGATGAAGGAAGGAAGGTTGAGATTAGATCCTAGGAAGAAATTCTTCACTGGGAGCATGGTGAGATACCAGAACAGGTTGCCCAGAGAAGTTGTGGATACCCCATCTCTGGAAGTGTTGAAGGCCTGGTCAGATGGGCTTTGAGCAACTTGTTCTAGTGAAACGTGTCCCTGCTCATGGCAGGGGTATTGGGCATCTTGAAGGACCCTTCCAACCCAAAGCATTCTGTGACTCTACGATTCTGTGACTTTGGATAAGTTAGGGCAGAACTGGAATTCAAATGCAAGTCACTTCCAAGTCAGGTCAATATCCCAGACACCATGCTGGAGGATGAGAAATCTCTCTTACAGATAGTGTTACCAGGTCCCTTAATATCTTTCCCAGATAACCTTTTTATGGATTTTTTTTCTTTTAATACAAATTAAAATCCTTGAAGGAAATCCCTAAGTTGACTTCAGTGGAAATAGGACTTTACCCTACTGTAACAGTGATTTCTTATACAAGAAAAATATTCTTTGACTCCTTTGTGAGTTTATTCTAGAAGCTTTAAATAAAATACTGTCTGTTCCTCAATTTTGCTGCATGACTTTTACAGTTATTACCTTCCCAACTCAGAATTATGCTCTCTCTCCTAATATATGCACATTTTGACATTGGACTCTTTATTCAAAGTCTTTATTCAAAAAACCTTCATACTAAAGGGAGAAAATCAAATTCCCATACTATTGAAAAATGTCAGACTAGGTCCTTAGTAATGGGTTTGGGGATTCCTCAAGGTGAAAGACACTACTAATTTATTTCCATTACCAGATACAGGTTCATCTTACCATATTCTACTCAGAAGAAATTTTTATCTAATAAAATGGAAAATATGGCATAGTTGATTCTTGTTTTTTTTCCAGGGAGTGTGTATTAGGGGATGACATTACTCAAAACCAGCAAATCACTGTAGATGAACTCAAGCACAACAACTTAGTGCAAGAATAAGTTTTCAGAGAAAATTAACTAAGCCAGACAGAACGACAAAACATCTTGACATAAAGTCAGACTGAGCACTGCTGAGCTGACAACATCACCCTTAAGGTAAAGCTGCAATCAAAAGCAGCAGGAGAGACAAGGAAGCTGATACAACAGCATCAACACAACACATACTGCAGGTTTATTCTTCTCATTATCTTTAGATTCTGGCAGGAAGCTTGAAAGTGTTTTCAGGGCCAGTATGTGATATTAAGTGTTTGATGTCCTCCATATTCTGTAGAACTAGCTAAAAAGTAAGATCCTACAAGTCTGGCATTGAGATGCTGGAGTCAGACTCTTGTTCTGCCTTTAGAAATATATGTCATATGATGCTTTTTCGTCAATCTGGGCTCATGTACCAAAACTAGCTACAGTTTTATATATTTCAGATTGATGATTTTAAAAAGGCATCGTGTTTTACAAGAGCTCTTTAGCCCATTCAGCCAGTATTTAAACACATCTTCACCAAATCACTGTTTTTAATGATACTTAATAAGAAAAAAACCAACCCAGAGCATATAGTCATCACACATCGTTTTATCTACCAGTAAGTACAGTTTAGGATAAGCTTTTGATCCCTCTGCTTTTACTGAAGTCAATGGAAATAAATCCCTCATTCTGAGGTGTGTCTTCGTGTGGCATATATTATACCATAAATAAACTTGTGTTTGAGAAAAGGGGGAGATGGTGGGATAATACTGTTCTTCTCAGGTCATAAATGTATAATGGAGGATAAATGAGGCAGTGGAGAAAGAAAGAGACCAAATTCACCTCTATCCAGTACAGCATTATGAAGTCGGCACAATGCTTTTAAGTACATTGGGTAGGATTTTTCTTTTGCTGAGGATCCTTTACACAAGTCTACATTGGGCTATTAGTTTATTTTTCCCTGGGGAAAATGCTACTGGTCAAAGGTAGCTCTATCTGTAACTCCTAGGAGAAAAAGCTTGTCATGAAGACACTGAGCTCCATTATAAAGGATCGCACAAACTGCTGTGATAGCAGCACATAAAACAACCTGCGCATCTCTGAGTGCATTCCCCTTTCTGGTTGCAGCCAGCATGTGCCTTTCTCCCTAACTGGACAGGTGTTTCTTACTCTCAGACACTTCTAAAATATTAGCATTTATTGTGGAGATGGAGTAAAACCTGCAGCTCAGATCCAGATGTCCCTGGCCCTTTGGAAAAAGACAGATAAACAGGGGCCTGAGTTGCAGAATTTGGCTATTTTTAACTCTATTCACAGCATCTGCCTCAGTCACTGCACAGAATAAAAACAAGCATTTGTTAGCACAGTGCTTGGTTACACAAAGTACTGCAATGCTAGTTACTAGGACAACAATATAGTTGCTTACACTGTGAAGACAATAGATATTTAACATTTTTGATGTCTGACTAAAAATCCATAGGGAAAAAAATGGATAAAATAGGGTTTTTTTTCCCTACATTTTTCAGATTTGTATTGCAGTTTTATTATTCCACTCTCCCTGGAAGAGAGTATCTTTGCAAGATTTCGTATGAACATAATCCTTTTTACAATCTGAAACACTGCACTCAGATAATTTCTAAGTCAGGTTACATACCAGGGCAGTTTGGACATGAGTGTAAGAGTCTGTGTGACTGCAAGAAGCAAAAGCCACTGACTCAAGGACTATCTCAAACATGCACAACTGAAAATATGCTCAAGTGCATAAGCAGAGAGAGCCCTGAGAGCAGAGATGAAACCAAAACCTTACGTCATGACCAGTGTCTCATCTCCAGGTTCACTAAGTAATCCATCTACAAAGACTGAAGTGCTGGTAAAATTATGTGTGCTCCAAGTCTGGCCTTCATCTATGCTGAACCTGTAAAAAAGCAGAAATGGTTTTCATTTCCAACTATTACTATACAAAGCAGAATTCACTTAATAAAAAAAAAAAACAACTCACTACTAAAGCCTAGGATTTTTGATCACAAAAATACAATATGCCTAGACAGTGTATCATACTAATGTGATCTTTTTTTCAGCATCATATCCTGTGATTCACATCTTTATGAGAAGGTGTATGATAAATTTGCAGCAACAATAAAAATTCTCAGGGAGATAAAAAGAGTTCTGTCAACAAACTATCTTCCTACCTTGTGGCTTCAAAAGCAAGTTAATTTACACTTCATTCTTTCTGGTAGTCTCTGACTAGAGACCTGTTAAGCAGAGGTCAGTGAAACAGGAGAGGCAAAAGAGCCCAACTGCTAAAACATGTGGGAGATGCAGTAACTGCAGGCACCGAGATGATGATGCCCCTTCACAACTGCTACCAGCCACTCATGTTGATGAATCCACAAAACATATTTCAAATATTCTATGCATCCAAAATTTAGGAATCAAAGTCTCTTTTCTTCTGTACATTTCCTCCAGGTCTTTTGAACAGTAGGTTAGTGATGATTCATTCTAGCTAACCAGGTACACAGTTAGTTCTTATTACTGTATGCAATTCTGCAAAAATGAACCTAGTCACAAGTGATAAAGATCTCTTACAGTTTTTTATGCTGAAAATCATAGTTCTGCATGCCATTACATAAGGTTACCATATTTTGCTGCACTATCATGCAGTCTAAAACTCAATAATTTATAACAAAATGCTTTGCAGCAAACCTTTCCTCCTCAGCCAAAGAAGCTGAGAAGGCCACTTGCTGCATTATCACTGTATGACAGGATCTATGCACACTACAAACTGTGTTTCTGGCAGACCGTATTACATGGCACATAAGCACACGTAATGTTGCCTGTTGGCTCTCAAAGTCTACATTATATTGCTCTTGCCAGAGAGACTCAGGGCTATTCTCCAATTTCACTGTGGCCCTGGGAGAGGACAGAGATCTATTACAGTACCAATGAACTATCCTGACTGCATGCCTAAGCCACATATGCATCATAAGTTGAGCATCATTGACATGCACTGCTGGTGTCAACCAGCAGAAGATAACAATCATGCTGAACATGACTTGTACTGTAGAGTTCCAGAATAGCCTTTGAAGCAAAAAAACCCTACACTGATGCAAGGAAATTTTATTATGATTAATGCATTATGCCATGCTATCTTCAGCACCATGAAATAATCTTTAAGAAAACATCCAACTGCATTTTATTGACTTAATGAATGTTAAATTAAGCTGACTCCAACTGTGTTTCATACATGATCATGTTAAAATGCTTATCTTTAACTCTGAACTTTGCCTGAGGTCTTGAATACACAATAGCTCTACTCTAATTGACTGTAGGATTACTTGAGTATTTTCAGAGGGATAGAGGTGTCTTTGATAGCCACAATAACTCCACCATGGTCCAAGTACAAGATATGGTGCTCTTCTTCAAAGACCTACAAGTCAGACAAAAAAAGGCCAGCTAAGCAAATGTACAAAACAGCTGAAATAAAATGTACAAGCAAACAAGGATTAATAGACTTTTATATTTTACAATGTCCACACTTCAAACTGAAAAGGACATAAAAGTCAGGTTAACTCCTGTATTTGTTCCAGCTGTAAAAGAAAAGGAAGTTAAGTAGGTGAATCACAAAATGTTCAGGTTCAAATCACAGTCAGATTAAACTGCCTAAAATGATTTTAGCCCAAGATGATATTTCTCACAGTGTGCATTCTGCATTCCTTCCTATTATATATCACTAAGTGACCTATCACCTTACTTTGGTATTTGCCATATTCCGTGTACCTTGCAGAATAAAATGCTTTGTATTTTAATTCTAATAAAAATAGGAAAAGTATTGCTGCCCCTGACTTTCTCACGTTACCCAGAAACTACAGAACTTGAAATAATTGGTACAAGTATGTTTTCTGCATTTCCAGTGTCAGTGATTTATTTAAGTTCAAACATGTGATCTCCCATGGAGGCCACTCCGAGTTTTGAACCAAAATACATGTAATACTGATTTAATGGTATAAATGATTAAAAATTTCCTAAATTATTTAAATTCCTTTTCTAGAAGTCATCAGCAGTACTAAAATAAATCCACAGGTAGATATCTTCCCTTTCTTACATCTGAAATCTGTTTTAAGACATGGTTTACTTGTGTTATTAACATGTGAAAGTTCATTTAACACAAGAGCAAGTGGTAAGGTGAGAGTTATCACACACACTAGACAAACACGCGGTAAAAGCAAAGGTAAAACCCATAAAGGTTAGCTTTACTTTGCTGTGTGAATGAAAAAATATTGACAATACAAATGCTTTCTTTCTTATTTCCGGAAAAACTGAGTGCTACATTTAGAGGATTTATCAGCAAGACTGAACCAGAGCTGCAGTGGAAATATCCTAAAGCACACCCACAATTACTTTAAAAAATAGTAAGCATTTAATTTGAGTTGAGAATTCAGTCTTCCTCTCATCTAGCAAGAACATATTTTATGGGAATCCTAGGGTTTCAAGTGTCCGATCAGTTCTTCAATGTTGCAAATTTACAGGCAAAACCCTGATAAGAGGCATTTATAGTCCTATCTACTTATTCTACACAGCTGCATGTTTTAGAAGAGATTTCAGTAAAGGACAGACATTAATTTTAGATGCACTTCAAAAGGATGAGATCAGCTGGAGTTAGAAAAGCAAGCAGAGTTTTGATCCTCCTCTAAACTTTGTTTGAACTTCCGCTCAAATCAAAATACAACAGTTTATGCTGGGACATGAAGTCTCCCAAAGCTTCACCATCATAATGAGGATAAAGGAAGCTGGTATCTGTACCAGTTTATCCAAATAAGGTTTTCCCAGAGAAGAAGCATGGCAGTTCCCCACATACCATTTTAGTATCCTGCTTTAGCACGGCAGACACATTACACGCATATCAATGCCATCATTATATCATGCTTTTTTGCACACACTTCAAACATTTTATAACCAAACTGTATGAAATTCCTTATGAAAGCAACCCTTCATCTTCAGTACATTGAAAAGAATTAACAATTTCATGCATAAAAGTAAATATTTATCTCTACTTTCTGGAAATGAAAACAAGACAAACAGTTTGCAAAGGATTTAGGCAAAAGTGGTCCCAGTGTCAGAGCTGAAGTTCAAAACTGAGAACATACCTGTTCACAGCAAACCACAAATTTTGATATTTGTCACTCCACTAACTAAAGCCAGGCAACAAATGTGTTGTGATCCTTACTAATAGACAGCCACTAAGGAACAAGATTTTTATGACCTATTTATGTAATTTTTCAAGCACGTTATGTGCCTTACAATCATAATATCAACTTCTATTCTCTTCCTCTGTCCCCTCTGCTCTAAATGTTTCTTTTTCTGTGTCTGTCCCAACAACTTCAGCAGCTATTTCAGGTCAGAATATCTGTTGGGTGGAATTATTAAAACTCCATGAAATCAGTGAAAACACATTAAAACAATCCGATTTTACTCTGCAATGCAGAAGTTTCAAAAATAACCAAAAATTCCCAAAGTCACTTGCTTCTCTCATCAAGTGTCATCCATTTCTAGATTCAAAGCTGGAAATGGAAGTTTCCTACACAGAATAAGCCAGTTGGACTTTCCCAGAGTTAAAAGGCTGGAATTTTAGCCTGTTTTGCTGTGCTTAAAGTTGTTACCATCCACCTCCTGAGATGTCTGCAGGAAAACAAGTATTCTCGCTTAAACAAAGGTTTTCCAAGTTGTTTCGATGCAAAAGAATTTAACACGGAGAAATAATATTCCAATAAAAAAAGCACTAGGGTAAAGTTCCAGAGATCTAGATTCAGTTCCTAGACATACAACAGGCTTTCTGTTTATTGGCTTAACTAAGCATTTTACTGCTATAAGAGCTACTTTGGTAGCAGATCAAATATGAAAGGTTTTTGCTGTTCATTTCCTTTTATTTATGCCATTTCTTTTGAAAGCCAGACCTTTCTCTTACGTTGTCCTATTTCAAATACAGTGCTGTAACAGACACTGTTGAAATAGCAACAGCAACCACAACTGGGAACAGAAATTAGTATTTTAAAGAAATAAAATCACTTATATGTATACACAAGGTCATCCTTAGCATTCAACAGAGTATCCTAATATTTCATGTTCATTTAAGCATTTTGTGATACTGTTTTGCTGGTAGAAGAGACAAGGAAGCCTTTCAAATAAACTTATCTGTTCCATGAGTCCACCTTAGGCTATGCCTTCATGGTCCACTTGGCACTTATTTTTATAGTTGGGCTCAATGATCTTCAGGGTCTTTTCCAACCTAAACAATTCTACGACTCTACAATTCTGATTCTAAGCCCATGTAGTTCATGATTGTCAAGGTGAGATTCCCTTCTCCTACAGACCAGTTCACTGTTGCTGCATGGTTGTCTAACCTGCTTATCAATCAGCTCCTAAACTACTGCTATTTGCAGTCCAATGTTGTACAGTATACAGCTACGAATTTCAGTTTTTCTTTAAAAAAGAGCGATGCTTTCAAGATATTTCAACAAGCAGCTCAGGCGCCATGCAATAGAAAGGCAGAAGAACAGCTAGGGCCAACCCAAGTGGTATTGTGGTTACTTATAATCAGAGTCCTTGTTTTTACTTTTTACATGAGCTGGCAGAATCAGGACACAGGAACAACCACAAAACCACAGATGAAATGCAAAGAGTAAATTTATTCTCATTACCTGACCAACCAGGGGCTGAAGCAGCACCTGGGCAGAGACACACAAGTGGGAATGCAGGAACTGAAGAGCTCAGTCCGTGTGAAAGGATCACCCACCATGCTGTTTTCACATGTATTTCAAGGGTTTGCTCAGCCATAATTTACCACTCTGCTTTGATCTTTCAGGGGATCTCAAGCATGTGTGACAGTGTGCCTCTAAGTCTATCACAGGCCTATGTTATCTAAACATAGATGTTCTACTTGGCCAGCACATAAGGTCAAACAACAATATATGTGGGTTTTGACACACGAGCTGCACATCACCTGACTGCATTTATAATCCTCCTCACCAAACTTTCATTATTTCCCCAAACATTTCCATTTATCCCCAGTATTTACTTAATTTCACAGAACTCCCACTTAGGGATTTATTTCTATCTGTAAACACTGGCCGTGTTTATACATAAGTCTTCCTGAACTCTCCAATGACCACACCATATGCAAGCTATGGAAATATGGGTTCAGGTGAAATCATAGAATCATAGAATCATTAAGACCTCTAAGATCATTGAGTCTAACCATGAACCCTGAACACTTTCAAGTCCAGTACTGAACCATGATCCTAAGTGCCATATCCACATGTTATTTGAACATTTCCAAGGATGGTGGCTCAACCACTTCCCTGGGCAGTTTATTCCAATGCCTGACCACCCTTTCAGTGAGGAAATTTTTCCTTATATCCAATCTAAGCCGCTCTGGGTGCAAGATGAGGTTGTTCCCTCTTGTCCTATTGCTTGTTATCTGGGAGGTGAGATCAATCCCCACCTTTCTACAACCTCCTTTCAGGTAATTGTAGAGAGCAAGAAGGACCTCCATGAGCCTTAAAATCATTTAAGTATATACAGTTGGTTAAGAAATTATGGAAAGAAAATGATCAGCAGATTGTTGTTAAAGTGAGAATGTATTACAAACTCAGGGAGTGGCTCCATTTAAGAATCACAAACTGTATTTGCATCAACAGTGTGATGCTAGTGCAAGGAATATAAATCTTCTGAAATGGGGTGCCAGTAATGTCAAAACATCAAGGGCAATCATTTTGTTCTGTTTAGCACTGACAAAATTTGTAATTTTGCATTCAGTTTTACCATGCTTCAGGAGAGGCATGTCATATTAGACAGTCCAATAAATGAGGAACAAAAAGGAAAAAAAAACCCCACACTTCAAAAATTTGATTCACTAGGAAAATCAGTGGATTTGAGTTTGCTGTTTCCAAGGGGGAAATCCCTACAGTCTGGGTAGACCTGATAATCACCTTTCAACATCTAAAAAGTTATTCAAAGGTGACAGGAAACCACTCCTCTCTAAAGATAAGAAGAAATCACCCTGTAGAATTTGTGAAACTGTAAGAACAAGAGCAAGAGGAACAGTCAGCTTATGTAAAATATTCAGAAAAATCTGTGAAGAATGGTGAAACACCATGTAGCCTGAATCTCCTAAAGTGAAGGATTAACAGTTATTGCAGAGATATTCCTAGTACATTTGATGTTGTCTCAGAGTACGTGGTTGAATTACATGATCTTTGATCTTCCCATAGTTCTATATTCCTATGAACCAATATTGCTATTATTTCAAGAAAGTTTTTAATTAATTCCTTGAACTGCCTTTTTCCTAAGTCTCTTATGTTTACTTTTCTGCATTGCTCTGTCTCTATACACAAACACAGACTGCTCCTCTTCTAGTCTGTGAACAGCCCTGCAACATTTTGTGAGCACATGAGAAAGGTGCCAGGCACTCACTAATGAGAAACACAAAGTCTCCAAGTCAGAAACTTAAACTCAGATGAAGAGTTGTGCCAAAGCATGGGATTTGTTCTGCATTCACCAGCTCACAAGACCTGCTGTTACTGAATTATTTAAATTCCCATATCACCTGACTGAAGCCTTCTCTCTTGTTGTATGAATGCCAACAGAGAAAGGAAATGTACTGCTGTCATCTGGAAGAACTGTTTGGTCATGAGCAGTGAGGCCATAAAATACTTGCAATAATCTACAATTTAATTCCGATTGCAAATATTAGGATTGAGTAAGCTCTTTCAAAGGCTTTGAAGCAGTTTTAATTAAAATAACGCTAGCAATGGTGTTTTCCATTTCGACTGTTGCAATGAGGGATCAGTTTGTGGTTGGTTTTACAGCATGAATAGGCACCTTAGGGTCAAGTCACAACACATATCATTTACCTGAGTGTCTTACAAATAAAAAGCAGTAAAATATGGATTTGATCCCCTTCACTCTTTTCTTCCTATTTTTAACCCCAGAAAAACTATAAAACTTTGGCAAATGCTGACAATAAATTATGAGACCTCTATGAAGTATTGAACAACACAGTACCCATTGTAAATCCTGGAAGACTTTTGCATTTAAACACCTATTTATCATATTCTAGGTTTCAAGAAGGGATTTGGCATAAAATTTTATCTTTTAAACATCAAAAGACATGCTCATGACAAAAATAACATATTTCTCTTTAAAAGACCTTTTAAAAGCAGAGTATTAATGGCATCCTACAATAGCAATATAAGAAACTGTTCGTATTTTCCTCTTTTAACCTTAAATTCCCCAAGCTCAGTAACACTACTGAGACCATTTTCACATTTAATTGTTCTCAGAAAATAACTAAATTTGATTACAGCTAAACACTAAACCACTATTTTAACTGAAATGAAATTATTTTTTGACATGCTTTAGTCCTTTGAGGGTGGGTTTTTTTTTCTCCTGGATACACATTATAAGTAGAATCTGCATCATATTGTGTATTGTTGCTATATACATATATATAGAAAGAAAGTATCCCTGTGAATAGGCATTGCTGAGTGTATTGGGTTTGTATGGCTTCTCTGAGAAGCTGCCTGAAGCTTCCCTATGTTCAAACAGAGCCAACACCAGCCAGCTCCAGGATGAGCTTGACCAAGGTCAAGCCAGTCGGACAGCAGTAGCACCTCAGGGATCATGTAATTAAGAAGGTGGGGGGAAACCTGCACAGCAGCAACTGCAGCAGGAGAGAAGAGTAGAGAATATGTAAGTAAAACAGCCCTCAAGACACCATGTCAGTGAAGGAAGGGAGGAGGTGCTCCAGCTGCCAGAGCAGAGGTTCCCCTAAAGCACATGGTGCAGGCCATGCTGAGGCAGCTCTGCCCCTGTAGCCCATCAAGGTCCATGGTGGGGCAGAGATCCACCTGCAGCCCATGGAGGAGGTGGATGCCTGAAGGAGGATGTGACCCCATGGGAAGCCTGCGCTGGAGCGGGTTTGCTGGTAAGACTTGTGACCCCATGAGGGATCCATGCTGGAGCAGCCTGTTCCTGACAGACTGCACCCTGTGGAAGGGTCCATGCTGGAGCAGTTCATGAAGAACTCCAACTCATCGGAAGGACTCATATTGGAGAAGTTCATAAAGAACTATTTCCTGTGGGATGGACCCCACACTGGAGCAGGGGAAGAGTGTGAGGGGTCTTCCCCATGAAGAGGAATGCACGGTAGAGAAAATGTGTGGTGAACTGACCGCAGCTCCCATCCCCCTGTGCTGCTGGGGGGAGGAGGCAGAGTATCTGTGAATAAAGTTGAGCTGGGAAGAAGGGAGGGGTGGGGGAAAGGTATTTTAAAATTTGGGTTTATTTCTCACTATCCTACTCTGTTATTAATTGGCAATTAAATTAATCTTTTCCAAGTTGAGTCTGTTTTGCCCATGACAGTAATTGGTGACTTATCTTGACCCACAAGTTTTTTTTATATTCTCTCTCATCTGTCCAGCTGAGGAGGGTAGTGATAAAGTGATTTTGATGAGCACCTGGCATTAAGCCAGGATAAACCCACCACACTGAGACAAGGCAGTTTAGGATACATAATAAAAGCGCAATGCTTTAACTGATTATAGGCAGTGGAAGCAAAAGACTTCCAGAATTCAGACAGCATTACCACATCACTGTTCTCTTTTTAATACTTTGGTATTTGTATTCCCTGAATTTATTAAATCATACTAAAAGACATTCAAAGATTTATTATTTTTTTTGAAAATATGTTTTCACTCAGTTTCAATGAAGAACAAAGTTTATGCTTAAATAACAGTTTTCAGACTATGAAGTTGAAGAATTTCTGCCTTTGTACCTAAGCCATGTCTTTTAGCTTGGAATGTTTGTACTGGAACATCTAGCCCAAGTCTACCTCATCATTATCATAGGAAGATTATTTAAATTATTAAAAAACTAAATAGACGCTATGTTTTTTGCATAAGATACTTTTAAGATCTTTAAGAAGGGATTTGCAAAGACTCAAATTGATCAGGCTGTCAGGTTCCAATGAAATTTGAATATTTTCATCTCTTTAATCTCTTAGTTTCCAAGTAAAATGGAGATAATAATGGCCCCCTCCTTCAAAAGAGTGGGTATCTAAAGACTGGTTAAGCATTATAAAATTCATCACATTTGGTACATTAAAATTATTTCCAGGTTCCTCGGTGATTTATGTTTCCTACCTGACGCCACGTGTTTCCACAGTCAGATGTTATGTACATCTCCTCTTTATACTCAACCAGCTGGGACCCCAGGTTACCTGTCACAAAACAGGAGAAAACAAGTGTTGTACCCAAATGAGCAAGAAGATTGGATCTAGTCCTGATGCTAGTCGCAGTAAGAAGTTTCCAAGTCAAAGCAAGAACTAAACTCAGGTGATCAGGCGTACTTAATTTCTGGTAGGACCAGCAAAATCCTTGAAAAAAAAAATATGTACACTTTTAAAACCTTCCTTTCCATTACTATCTTGTCCATTGGTGGGAGCAACGAGGCTTGATTCAAATACTGAAATGCAGAAGACAAACCAATGTTTTAGTTTTGTTGCTGCATGCTGAGAAACTATTATAAAACAACACATATTTAACATGTAAGTATGAAATATCCATGAACTCAGAAGCTTTATCTTAACCCTAATCATAGCCTGTAAAAGTATTCATGTTGAACTCAAAATGTTAAAATAAAATATTTTATCTGTAAGACTGGATGAAGTGATAGCAAAATCTAGAATCTGGTCAAATATGTAACACTGAAAAGAGGGGACAGGGCTTTTGAAAAATAGTGTAACTGCAAAAGAATTGAAAGCAGAATGACTTGATTTATCTAAATATTGACTAGGAAGATACTGAATATTTTGACAAAAAGTACTGAGGAGAATTCAGATTGCTGCAAATCTAACAGAAGTGTTAAACTTGTGGAAGATGATCGTAGGTGCAGTCCCAAATACTGAGATCACCGTCTTTTAACATGTGGTATTTCAAATAGAAAACTATTAAACCACCAGGCAGTTTACAGTGTTCTAGGGGAGAAGCAATCATGGCACAATATTCCTTCTAAATGCTATTCTCCAGGGGATTTTGACTTAAATATATGGTTTGCATGCTTTTACAGTAGAAATAAGATGAAAGTTACCAGATCCTCTTAAACAGAAGAGGCGGTGAAAGAAAACACTTGAGATTAGGATAGCAGTATGAAATTCCACTTATGTGTTATATAAGTAGCTGATTTTAACCACTAAAACAGATCTGTTTATGCAGAATGTCCTCACTAGTGCTGAAAGGTTCCCAAGAGGAATGACAGTGCTCACTGCCCAAAATACATGTTCTATTTAGACCATCAAGGTTGCATGTGGTCCGCTGTTTAGTTGTATAACTCTACATTATTTAACCCTAAATACATCCTGGACAGGATTAAGATATTTATAGTGAATCAGGGAATTTATAGGAGTCAGTTAATTTCTTTCAATTGCATCTGACATTTCAGAAGATGCCGCTGCACTTTCTCGGGTTTTCATTTTTCCAACCCACTTCACTCTCTCATTTATCAAATAATTCAGCACAGATTTAGTTGGTTGTGTCATTTTGAAAAAAAAAGACCCTATTCCTGTAGGTAATGAGATTTGACAAGGTCAGTACGACATGGATGAAGGTGGTGTGGACTGACCACCTGCTTAAGAACCAAACTCCTATGGACGAAGTAGATGTAAGACCTGTGTGAGATACTGGATCTAAATCTCACTGAATTATTGATATGGGTCAGAACCAACTCACTGTGAGTGTGTGTGTGTGTGGGGGAAAGGGTTGGGCCTAGACCTGCAGGTACATGGTAAGGCCTGCACATAAAGCCTGCTGAGAGCATGTGGCAGAGCCAACACGGCTGAGCCCATGCAGAGGACATGGCAGAGATGAAGCCAGCTCTCAGTTGAGGCAGACCTGCTGGTAGCCCACCCACACCATGCCCCTGGAGCCTGTGACTGGCTACAGCACAACCTGCTCTGGCTTGGAAGGCACTGACCGGATATCCTGCCTGGGAGGGAAAACTGAACTCTATAAATACGCGAGACTCCATATGAGCCTCCTCTCCTCTCCTGCAACCTGAACCATGTGAACCATCAGATCTTCTCGGTAACTGTTTTTCCTTTCCTCTCTCTCCTTCAATCTTTCCTCTTCCTGTCTTTAGTCTTTTAATCTATTTTCTTCTTTTACCTCTTTTCCTTCTCTTGTAACTTAAAACCAATGAATTGTGTTTTACTAAAGTTAGTATGTTGATTGTTTCCAATAGGTGTTTACTGTGGAAGGGGTCTTTGTGCTGAGTGTTTTACTGAAATATTTTTTCTTGGTTGTATTTTACTCCTGTAAAACCTTTTGCCAAAATATCTTATTTTTCTCACTAAATTAAAAGAATTTCTCTTAGAGAAGAGTGTGTGACTCTTTCTCTGGACGCTAATTTGAGGTTATAACGAACTACAAGGCTTTTAAAAAGTCTTAAATAAAATGTAACCACTCTGGGCAGCTTATAGCTTAAATCTGGAGTGTAAAAACCTGCAAGATCAAAAATGTGCCAAAACCAGCTTAGACTCAAAGCGCAAGGATGACCCATATGACTGCTATTGGATGTGACAGCAGTTACTCCAAGTGGGAAGGAAAGGGAAATGGGTAACTCTGGAGTGAACAGCCCCTATTCTTTCCCAACAAACATCTTCCTCTTCAAAAAACAGCCCAGCTCTAATTCAGCACTGGGGCCTGTCCGGCACACGGGCTCACCTTCCCAACACTCTGCCTGCTGAGTTGGTCCAAGCAGCAGGGATGGCAAGGGCGATCACATGGTTCACAGAAGAGTTATTACTTTTTCATAAGGCTGTTTAGCTTTTAGAAACAAAGGCCCAGCAATCAAAATGAAACCTCCATGACAGAAGTGACAGAAAGCTACAAACACATCATCAGTGTTAAAGAACAAAAGAGCATAGACCTAACTAAAGGTTAAATTTAAAAAAAAAAAACAGATTCAAACTTCGGTTTATTCTGTCCAGTAGTCCTTGGAATACTACATTTTTTGTTTACATTCATGTTGCATTCATTTAGGTAGATCTTCTAGTATAAGAGAAAAAACCTCCAACAATGAATCATGATAAAGTCATAGAATATAGTCAGTTGGAAGGGACCCACAAGGATCATCGAGTCCAGCTCTTACCCTGCACAGGACCACCTCAAGAGTCACACCGTGTGCTTGAGAGCATTGTCCAAATGCTTTTTCAACTCTGTCAGTCTTGGTGCTGTGACCACCGCCCTGGGGAGTCTGCTCCAGTGCCCAATCACCCTCTGGGTGAAGAACCTTTTTCTAATATCCAACCTAAACCTCCCGTGAATATAACCTAATGAAACAGTTCCAAAAGGTAAGCTTCACACATGAATTCAGTTATATTTTCTCTCCAAATACAGCTTTAAGATTAATCTGCTCACCAGAAGAAGATATGAACGAGAAATCACCTTCCCAGGGTTAAAGGAAGGGAAGAGATTTGATTCACTGCTCATACAAAATATATTTCTTTTGCCATTCTTACTTTCCTCTGTGTAGTTTTCACTGGTATATGCATCTGCAAATAGGTATATTCTTGTGCTTCTGCAGTTATTCACGGAATGTTTTCTATGGGACAGCTGAGGACAGAAATATTTATTTGCTTGCTAGAATCTAAAGTATTGTTGTCAGTCTATACCCTTTTTTGCATAGATATCTTTAATGAATACAGTGTTAGTTTTGCTCCTGGATAAATGCTGTTTATTCTACCTCTTTTCACCACTTACTAAAATCTACTTGCATGAGTGGGTCTTTATTTCAGGAATTGCTATGGATCTACACTTTAAAGAGTTCAGTGGTAAATTGCCTTGCTAATGGAAAATTAGTCTGTAAACTAAACAGCATCAACTTGTGCTTCATTAAAAAGCCTTTTCTATCCAGCTGATATGGTAATGACTGAAATATATTAGCAACAGTGCTGTAATTGCAGCTCTGTCAAAAGACAGACATGAACTTCTCCCAGTTCTGGTTTTACCTTCACTGCCTTTTCTTGATAAATGAGCAAAAGGAGTTGGTGGGCTCATTTATAATTCCATTCTGGTAAACAACTGATGAACAACAGCATCGAGTCTGGGGTATTCCTTTGGGAAAAGGGACTTAAGTGCTGTTTTACCCTTGAAAGCAATCCATCCCCAGGCCAAGGGTGAAAGCCCAGAAGTGGTGCACGCAGGAGCTTCTGATTGCTGACACAATATTTAATTGTGTCATAAATGAAGGCTGTAATTTTCATGACTTCCAGATTTTCTGGGAGACACAATTATATGACATAATTTTGCAAACTTTATAAAGTTAAGTCTTCAAGCAGATTAAGAAAACCTTTCTGTAAGGAATGATAAACCTTTTCAATGTAGTTGGAGTTTGCTCTGTGGGTCCTGCAGAAGATGTCTTGCTGAAAAACAGTGTCAGTGGATTTAGAAAGAAAAGGCAGTTGAGGCCAAAAGCAGAAAACCTGCAGAACCAGCGAAGACAGGGAGGCTCCTGCAAAGCACAGGGGGCTATTTGCTGTGGGAAGCATCCCTGCAGCCAAATCTGAGAGGTGACAGACAGAAGGAAACTTCCAGGAACACACAGGGGTATGTGATGACTTTCTTAAACAACAGATATCACTGAAAACTGTTAGCCTGAAAAAGTAGAACTGGAATAAAACAAAGTTCTTCAAAGAACTAAGTGAACTCTGTACAGCTTTATTAGCAAACCTTTCTATTTAATGTGTCACACAAAAGTTATGAGTTTTCTCTATTTTAAGTTACATTGTTTTATTTTTTAATACTCTAATAAAAAATAATGTCAATGATGTGGAACATTTTGTACTTTTTGAGATCTAAAATAAAGTGCATAATTTTAGGCTCTAGCTACCTCACAGTGTGTCGTGTTATTGGATAAACCAGCTAACTAAACAAAGCACATGTAATGACACCCCATAAACCCCTTTACATCAGCCTCAATTCGCATCAAATTAAGTGCAAAAAATCCTGACATTAATAACATTGCAAATAAACAAATGCAAAGCCACTGCAGCACTCAAAGTAGGACTGAGATATTCTGAATGTTTCCATGCCATATCTGAAAATTATGAAACATATTTGTGGTAAGTGTGGCAGCCAATAACACATGTGCACAACTGCCATTGTGATCAAGTGACACAGAAGGGGAGAAACAGACAAATTATGCTCAACCAAGACTGGAAGG